GATGGCACTAATCGAAAAGTTAATCTATCAAGTAAGAGGTATGTTTCTCCAATTGCTGGTGTGTCAAATTTTGACTGTGATAATACACATAAACTCAAATATTTTCACATTTATAAGCTAATTTCAATCTTCAGCGCTACAGGTACAGCGCACAGTCCATTACGGGCATCCTAACATTCGACAAATTTATGTTTGCGTTTGGTACAGTAACTGTGTCTAGAGATTGAGCCGCACAATTAAGTTTGTTTTTTTCGTGTATATACTTTTTCGGGATAATAAGTGCCCAGTGTTATGCTCAGGATATTAAAGTATAATACTACAAAGTTACATAGTAATTGGACCAGTTGTTTTGTGTGATGCGTGAACATATAGACAGATGGACAAAATTCGAAGAACAGGAGTAAGAACGGGGTGTTTAGTCAGTAAGAGTCTGACACTCCCCTCGCCTCACACAAGCGAGAGAAGTCTGATGATTATCCCCCTAAAAGAAAAGGCTAAGTATCTTTCTTTGGCCACAGAAGGAAAAGTCATATAGCAGGTGCTCCATAGTAGGCCGCATCATCGCTTACCACCAGGCGAACTGGTGGTCCTGTGTTACTAAGACCATAACCTAACATGACGTAGTTTCCATTATGCTATATATTTTTGGTTATCACAAGGAAATAATGTAAATTAACAATACAATGTCGTTTAAGGTTAAACCAACTTTTAATAATATAATAATAATAATAAACGTGATATCATTTAAAATAATGTATTTATTATTAATTATGAGAAACCCAAAAATTTTCACGCAGAAGAGTCGTGTTTAGGCACGAAGGGGCTAGAAAAGTAGCGTGAAATAAATGAATGTTGGTTTTTTTTGAAGGGGAAAGCATCCAATGACTTCTCTCGCCTGGGTGAGGCGGGAGGGAGTATCAGACTCTTACTGACTAAAAACCACCCCGTTCATACTCCTGAACTTCGAGCCGGAGCCACAGCAACCTGTTAAGTCTTCCGCGGCTCCGTATCGACATCAGCCCTATTAGGCCCTATATGTGGTGGTCTGAAGATTTTTTGAGGTGCGCGAGGAACACGACGCTCCGTACGCTCGGGAAATGAATGCTGCTTGCACCTAGGATTATGTCCTGTGTCGTGACTCGTGGGTGCGTTTACGAACATGTCCTTAAACTGTCAAACACCGCGAGGACACCGGTGACCGCAACCTATTGTTCTTTAATTGTGTCTATAATGACGGTACTCGACGAGTTAAAAAGGTTTTTAGTTAACTTATATGTACCTACTTATTATCTGTGTTTTTGTCGACGATAATCTCGATATTGACTGAACCGATTTTGATGCGGTTTTCGGAGATGTGTTTGTTACATTGCCTGCCTCGTGGTCGTAAATGCGACTGCCGGTCTCGGGTTCGATTCCCGGGTCGGGCAAAGTATTACTGGTAGTTTAAATATTTGTTGTGGTCGGAATTGTGCCCGGTATATGGCAATAGGCTCACCCTCTCACATGGGACTCGTAACATAAATAGTGAAAAGTGAGTGTTACATTGTACAGTGGTATAATGTGCACCTCTGCCTACCCCTTCGGGGATAAAAGGCGTGTTATTATGTTATGGTTACACTTTTCGTCAGCTGGAACGTCAGCGAAGCATCTGGTAGAAGCTAATGTTTATAAAATAAATTCTAGAATGTTTTTAATAAACAATTTTATCCACTATATTACCCAACAATATTTTAGCCTTATTTTTAATCAACAATTTACATAATAGTTATGTCTTTCTGGTCCGCTCTGTGGCGTAATGGAAAGCATGACAGTGAAAGCAAAAGCAACTGCACTGGTCAGTTCGAGCTGGTTGGGTGAGGCTAGATATATATATATATATATTATATATATAACAATATGACTTACAAGTGTGTTGTGACAGTAGAGTACATTTTTTACCACCGCTCCTCTTCTCGTGGGTACGCGTTACGTTCTACGCTTTAGAAAGAGACCGTGCATTCATGGTCTGTGATGAATTTGGAATACCTATTTGCATTCTCCTGAGTTGTGGGTGCGTTTACAAACATACAATTTCACATGTACACATGACGTTCTCACATGTATAGTATACGTTAGGTAAAGGATCAGATTCTTTTTTTGCCCCACACTAGGGTTTTCTCCTGTGTCGTGGGTGCGTTTACAAACATACAAGTTGACATACACATGACGCCCAGATCTGACACAACAATATTAGTGAATCACACTAAGTGTTGTTCCATGCTATAATATGTATCAGAGACATTGTAGAACATACTTCTTTAAAAAGAGTAACGAATGGAGTTTCTTGCTCGTTCTTCTCCATTCGAATCTACATTTTGGTATGAGCACCTAGCTTCACTGACGGGCTGACTGACAGACTATTATTTATTTTGTATTTGTTGACGTTTCAAAAGTACCAAATGATGGTTTAATTGAAATAAATGCTTTGACTTTGCGGGAATCGAACCCGCGCCATGCTGCACGGCAGCCGGTTGCCCAGCCACCGCACCAACCGTGCGGTCAATGAGACTGTAAAACATATTTTTTTAGTAACGATGGAGTTTCTTGCTCGTTCTTCTCCATTCGATACTACACTTGCCTAGCTACACTGACAGACAGATAGACAGACAATTAAATTTTTGACGTTTTAAAAGTACCTAATTAAGAATCAATCGAAATAAATGCTTTGACTTTGACTGGACATAATTCGAAACATCTTTTAATTGCTGAGAAATTTAAGAAACATTACCGCTGCATATCCCATAGATTATTAAAAGGTTAAAGTTATAGATGCACATTCAACCCATGATACACCTAGGTACGATGACAAGAAAATGACCACCCATCAAACAAAGAACTGTGACGTGTCAAATGACGTCATGACTCGACTCAGCCGTGCATGCGACGCGAGCTCGAAGGCTACACGTGTCGCACACACGACAACACTTCAAACTATGCATAACAATAATAAAATGACCGTCAATCGTGCTGATAGATTGTACAAAGCCAGACCAGGATAACCTGGTTTTTATAGCTGCATGCGTCAAGCTAGTACCAGTATAAAATGAACGTCGAATGTACGGATAGATCATACAACACGAGTCCAGGATAAACTAGTTTGGTTGTTGGGGGTCGATGTGTGGTGTTCATATCGCAACTATAGACCGTAGCCAAGTGGCGTGAGATAAAGGACAGGTGGTGTTTCTTAGAGTTAACTCGTCGAGTACTGTCATTATAGACACAATTATAGAACAATAGGTTGCGGTCACCGGTGACCGCTTGGTGTTTGACAGTTTAAGATAATAAGCATCTTTGGTCTAAGTAGGTCGGGGGTAAGTGTGTAAGGTCAAAACCTACCAACAGCAAGTACCAATGTGACTTTTTCCGAGTTGTATGTACTTTCTAAGATTATCTAGACACCACTGACAAACGGTGAAGGAAAACATCGTGAGGAAACCTGGGCTTGTAATTTCTAATTAAGTTTAAAATCGCCAACCCGCATTGAGCAAGCGTGGTGATTAATGCTCAAACCTTCTCCGTGTGAGAAAAAGCTTTGGTCAGCAGTGAGCATTTATAGGCTGTTGATGATGATGATGATGAAGCATGGGTCTGTGAGTGAACCACGTCGTAGCACTGGAACTGAGTGGGGCGATAAACTTTTACCTAGCTTCATTGACGGGTACTTCTTTATTTGTTGACGAGTGTTATACCGGAGTGATACTACCAAAGCGTTGTGTGTAGTGAGAGTTTTTCCCTTGGTTATGCAGTCTTGGTATCAAAGCATATAGTCCGGAGTAATACCAAGGCCTCACAGGAACACGCCGTGAAATTACGCTTGCGTTCTGTGAGTAACATTGAGGTCGGTAACGCACTTGTAAACTTTCTAGTATTGCCGTGGAGAACCTAACGGGTTAACGAAGCTCCAGCTCGAATTGCAGGAGTAGGAACAGGGTGGTTTCTAGTCAGTAAGAGTCTGAAACTCCCTCCCGCCTCACCCAGGCGGGAGCAGTCATTCGATGATTTTCCCCCCTTAAAAAAAACCTTTCTAGTATTGCGGTTGTCCATTAGCGGTGTCGATTGTATGATGATTCATTGCATCAGTGATACGTTTGTTCGTTTCCCATAAAGAATAATGTTTCCTACATATGTTTTCCTTCCAAAATCTGATTTTTATACGCCCAGTCGCTGGCAAAACCAGAGTTGTATAGTTACATTGAGTTTATAGCCAGGAAAACAATGAATATTTTATAGAACGCACTATAAATACCAAGTTCTCTCGTTTCACAATATCCCTACCTATTTAATCTCGGTTATCAGTTCTTTATACGTTATCATACCTTTTGTCCAGCGCCAGTAAATCTTGCATGAGCTGAACAAAGACATGTCAACGGCGTAGTGTGTCGTGCGTGACGTCATCCCGTCATGCTTTATATCGAACCGTGTGGCTTTGTGTTGCAACCGAGTTACTACGCACTCGTTTACAGTCAGTTTCCATAAGCTGTGTTAAGTGTGGAAGAGCCATGCTTCGGCACGAATGGGCCGCCTCGACTTTAGTGATACCACAGAAAAGCGACGTGAAACAACGCTTGGGTGGTGTTTCGTCGTGTAAATGTGGATGTGTGTTACCTAAGGCCCAATTACACCCCCCCCTCTGGTGTTCCAGGTGTCCATCTGCGACGCCGTTTGCTTACGGCGTAGTGTATCGTGACGTCATCCCGTTTCCATAATCTATCTTTTTGTGATGAAAATTTAATCTTATGTCACTTCCTGCTCCCGGTGAGGTTCGGCAAAAGTCCATCAAAATCAACCCAGCGGTTTTAGGGTAGTTGCTAACTGATAAACACACATTTGCGTTGATAATATTAATGTATTGTCACAAAGAATTAATAATAGTTTTCTATTTTTCATCGTTTGTTGATATTGACGAAAATTTTTGAAAATTATTTGCATTCGTAATTAACATAACTTTAATCTTGTTACAGCGATGGCAGCAGCGCAGGCAGTCCAAAAGAGGCGTGCGTGGCGGCGTCCCCGCCCCCTGCGCCGGCGCCGGTGAAGCGCGACGTGCGCCACCACCACCCCCACTCCCATCCCCAGCATGTGCAGCACCAGCCACACGGGCAACACGTCCAGCATCCACAGCACATGCACCATGAACAACATTCAAGACCGCTTAGTATAGGTAGGTACAAGATTAACTATAGCCGCCGTAAGACTACTTCTAAATATTAAAGACATACTAAATGAATGGGGTATACCGTATTTTTTCTCCCTAGATGGAAGAAAGAAAGAGACAAAAATAAATTATTTCGCTGCCGCTACTGTGATCCACTCGGTTTACGTCCAATAGGGAATTAGCTAGTGTAACACTATTGTACGTTCAATATTTGACAGCTGAAGTGATTGAACAAAAATATATCTTACTACTTTTGGCTAAAAAAAAAAACGATGGCCCCAGATTAGTTTACAGTCAAACTAGCGACCCGCCTCGGCTTCGCACGGGTGCAATATGCATGTATTATACATATAAACCTTCCTTAAGAATCACTCTATCTCTTAAAGAAAACCGCATCAAAATCCGTTGCGTAATTTTAAAGATCTAAGCATACATAGGGACAGAAAGACGGCGGATAGCGACTTTGTTTTATACTATGTAGTGATATGGCTCACATGATTCATAGAAAAATCCGGTTCTACTCATGTAAACTATTCGTGGAAAGCTCTCAAATAGAGATATCAAGCACTCTCGAGTTCCTCATGGTTCTGAATCCATGTGTGGCTCCAAAGTGATACAGCTGTTCTGGAATAGTTTACCTGATTTGAAGATACTTCTAAACATGCTGTAATTTGATCTCCAGTATTTCAAACATTAAGGTATTCATAATCAGATAGTAGTCGTGAAGTGAGAACGATGGTGGTTGAATGAAAGGATTAGGTCTTTCCGTACTTCTTATTCTGACATATAAACTCCTTGTTCCGAAGGCGGCGGAGCGGGCGGGTCTCGGCGCGCCGAGCGTCGGGCCGCCGGTCCCTCCGAAAGACGCCGAACAGGTATTGCGCATCCTCAATGGTTACCCTCACAAAATGGCTTTTGAGATTGTGTAGAGAGAGTTGCTTTGAGAATGACTGCAGAATAAGGAGATGCAAGATGGATTTAAGGGTCGGCAAGGCGCATGTAATGCCCCAAGTGTTGCAAGCGTCCATAGGCCACGGCAACCGCTTCCCATCAGGTGGACCGTGTGCTTTTTTGCTACAGTCGTGGTATAAAAAAAAGTAGATGCTTTGAGAGCATCTGTGGTGTGCTGTTAGTAACGTGAGGGTCTGATTCCCATACTAAATAGTTCTTTGTGTGTGAAAAGAAGAATTTATACGCGATCTTCTTAAACTTAATTAATTAAAGGTGCTTTGAAATGGTATTGAAGTGTCCTGTGTTATCATTTCTATTGTGTCGAATTACAGAGATGCGAGTCAGTCCAGGAGGTGCCGGACCTTCGGCAGACCCTCCACACATGATGCATCATCACCATATGGTAAGGCTACTTCCATTTATAACCTCAAGTTATTGAGGTATTTAACTTGTATCCTCCAAATTTTACTTAATCGTGTACTTGCCAACTAGTCAAATTCAATACTTTTTTCGAACTGTCAAAAACGACAGTTTTGTATGAATTGTGTATTGTGACGTCACGTTTTTTTTAGCGTCAAACAGCGTACTCATTTCTTAAAAAATTGCTGGAAAAATTCTAAAATTAAGTTGGTCATAAAATCAATTAATGAAAGTGTGATTATTTTTTAATATTTTATTGTATTGAACAGTCAAAATATGTAATTTATTTTTGATTAAGGAAACTACTCAATTAGTTGATTCAGTGACGGAAAATTTGTGTTGACCTTCAATGCTAAAGATCTTTTGATCGCTTCTCATCAGTACTCATTTTAAGTGTGGGAGAGCCATGCTTCGGCACGGATAGGCCGGCTCGACCAGAGTGATACCACGGCCTCACAGAAAACCGACGTGAAGCAACGCTTGCGTTGTGTTTCGTCATGTGAGTGAGGTTACCGGAGGCCCAATTACCCTCTCCTTCCCCAATCTCCCCAATCCCTGAATCCCCAACGATCCTCAAACTCCCAATCCCCAAAAAGCCGGTAACGCACTTGTAACGATTGCTTACCATCAGGTGATCCGTCTGTTCGTTTACCGGCTTATGCCATAAAAAAAATACTCGACTATATCGTATAAAATTATTGGTTGCAAATAAAATGTATCGAACACGAAGTCTACCATTAGATACACACGATTTTCGGTTTTAAAGTTCAAAAAGTTCAATCGCAAAAAGTAGCTTGGATTTGTCTCAGGCCTTTGACAGTCTCATAATAATATTTGTCACTGGGTGTTTCATAAGTATGCCAAATTTTTAGGAAAGATGACATCTGACACATGTTTTCTTTATCCATTTTAGGATACCAATCCCTTAGAAGGCTCAGTGGAGTCCATGGTAAGCGGCGCAGGTTCCTCAGACGGGGAGCTATCTTCGAAGGCTGGAGACAGCCCCAGCAGAAAGCGGAGGCGGATCTCCAGACATCTATCGTCAGGTAACGTACAGCATATGATTTTTATTAGATAGGGTAAATAAACACTAAACAATTAAAATAAAGAAAAATAGGATAGGGCAAAAGCAAGAAAAACTAACATAACGCGTCAAAAAAAAATATCCTTATCATTGTCATGAGGTAAGGTACCCAAAAGACTGGCATCATTGCGTTGATGGATGGCAATGCTTAACCGCTTAAATGAGGGTCTCGCGTGGATCCACGTTTAGACACACGACGGGTTAATCTTTGACCAAGATAGTAGCCAGCATTTCGATCACCTGAAATATCAACCATCTTTTTTACAATATGTTTGTAACGAAGATGTGCTTTTGGAACCCACGACCCTAAAGTAATAAAATAATAACTTATAACATATGATAACTAATAGGGTAGTTTACTAAATTTTATTTTAATGTCCGTCCGGTAGATTATTTTAAAGCATTCGACACGTATTTTTTATTTTCTTACAATATTAAATACTTTCGACTATATATTGATTTGAAATATCGTGTCGTTACGTCACGCTACCCTATAGGGTATCTATAGGACCACCCACTCCTAAACTTAACTCCGTTTAATCTAAGTATTGTTTTCTTATACGACAAAATAAATAAATACGTGTCTAATATTTTTTCATTATCTAACTAAGTGACGGACTAATTACATTTTTAATTTTATTTAATTTTACACCGTCTTCTACCTACGACTGTGTTTCTAATATACGATTATACATTAAACAACTGTCCTGTTTTAAAATAACCAAATCAAGATATAAATTTTAATGTATAATGTAATTATGATTGCAGGGGAGAGCAACGTGTCAGTGTCAGCGCCGGCCGTCGAGCGACGCACGCCCAGGCATCACTATCAACCTCCGTGAGTAACTTACTTAGCACTTGTACTGCGAAACTACTGGTTTCAATTGAATCATTCTTTTTGTCTTGAATAGTTTATTTATTTATTAACGCTTCATGTTCAAAATGTGTAAGGGGTGTTATAAGGTGGACTTGGTGCTGCGGGCATTTTGTCCCAGTCTGACCTTTGGGTGATGCAGAGAAGAGTTATTGGTAGGAGTAAGAAGCAAGCAACGATTTAATAGATTCACTAACATATTTCAGATATATAAACATAAATATTATACATTATACTATATTATAAAAACTTTACCCCACACTTGGATTTTCTCCTGTGTCGTGGGTGCGTTTACATACATACAAATTCCCACATGCCACCTAGACACTGAAGAACAATCTGTGGATCACACAAAGAGTTGTTCTGTGCGGGAATCGAACCCGCGACACGTTGTGCGCCAGCCAGAAGAGTTTCCCAGGAGTTTCCGAAAATTATGGTTGGATTGTAACTCTCGCTTACTAGCTCATGTCTGTCACTGTCTTTTTATTCTCAGCCGGCGGATGCGATACGTGAACAACGGTGCGGGCACATGGGCGGAGAGGCTGATAGAGCCTCACGCGCATCCCGCGCATCCAGCCCATCCCGCGCATCCAGCGCATCCCGCCCATCATACGCATCACACGCACCACGCACATCCACATCATACGCCATTGTTACTGGATATCAATCAGGTAAGGAGAATTTTTTTTTTTACAAAATTGATCAATTCAACGGAAAGAAAAGGAGTTTGATTTGAAAGTTGCTCCTATTATTAGTCTTCATAATGGACTTTAGGCGGTTGCTAGATGTAGGTCACTTCCTATCGGCAGATAAGTTGAAGTGACTGTTATAACTTCTAATAGGCGTTTGACAATATTAATCAGTTAATCACAATATAATTTTGTTTATAGCCGATAAATGTTGAATCTATTCAACATCTAAGGCATTTATTCAATAAAATATGCTTGACTGTGGTCATTAAAACAAAAAATCTCGTGTACTGTTGTATTTTCAAAAAGAAATGTATGGTGTACCCCAAGGCATTATACTAGGTCCTTTAAATTTTTGTAGATGGTCGTTGAGACTAGAAATCCATAGGCTGTCAGGAAGAGATCTTAGAAAGCGATATTGCTGCCCATTTATCATATAGTATTGTTGTATCTGTATAATGCAATAAAGAATTTAATCAGAAAATACTTTAAGTTGACTGCCTCGTTGGTCGAGTGGTCGCAAGTACGACTGGCCGGGTAAGGGTCTCGGGTTCGATTCCCGGGTCGGACAAAGTATTACTGGTTTTTAAAAAATCTCAGTATTAGCACGGAGTCTGGAAATGTGCCCGGTACATGGCAATAGGCTCATCCCCTATTACATGGGACTCATAACATAAATAGTGAAAAGTGGGTGTTACATTGTACATTGACTTTAAGTGCCGTAATGTGCACCTCTGTCTACGATAAAAGGCGTGATGTTATGTACTGAAAGTTCGTGGTGTCATTCCAGATGTCAGTCCGCGGCACGCGGCTGGGCGCGCTGGGCGGCGTGGGCTGGCACCACGCGCAGCACGCGCAGCACGCCACGCACGCGCGCGACCACGCGCAGCGCACGCAGGTATACTATACACGCTGCATCGGTCGCGCCCTCACTATGTCGTAGGGACACGGTCGCGATTGAATATTGTGGTTTTGTAGGTCTTGATAATTTTCTTAATGATAGAAAATATATCTTCAGGTACAGCTAGCCAAATACCACTTAGCGCTTGTCTACATGTAGAATAGAAAACCAAATTATATGGGATTGACGTTAATTTTGACAACTGTCAGTGTCATCCCCATACATTTTGATTTCTACTCTCTCTGTAGACAAGCGCTAAAGTGGCGTTTGGCTATAGGCACAGTTTATAGGAAACTAGATTTTAAAAAACCTTTTCTAAAAGGAAAAATTAGGTTAACTTTTTTGGGATCCAAGTTTTGATTTCGCAAGATTTTTCTTCGTAACTTTGTATCGTATTAAATCTCTGAAGAGAAGATAGGATTTGCCTTTATTAAATGGATCTAAGTTATCTTAAACAAATGAATTGCAATTGAATTTAAACCGAAATCACATTGAGAGTCTTATGCCTATCAACAAAGAGATTTAAGTCCAAATAGTCAACGCAACTCAAGTTTATGTCGCGTTTAATACAGTATAATTCAAGAGAAGAGCCTACTCCTTTTTAAAAGGCCGGCAACGCAACTCTGACTCCTCTGGTGTTGCGGGTGTCAATGGGCTGCGCTGATCGCTTACCATCAGGTGATCCGTCTGCTCGTTTGCCTCCTATTCCATAAAAAAAGTATAGTTCTGTCTCTATAAATTCTTTCTACAATGACAGAGATAGCACTATATCTAAGTACAACTTAAAATGGAGTAACTTTTCATTATTCGAGCGTAAAGCGTATAAACTTTAAAAAAGGTTATAGTACTCAACTTTTTAATCATATTTTGTCATCGATTATGAGATAGACATTGCGTTAAAGCAATTATTAACTTTAAGAATAAATTATTATGTTTTCGGCTTACTCACGTAATAATTTGACGAGGAACTCGACTCGACAAGCCATGCTAGAGGCTCATATACATGAGCAACATTTCATTAATCATTAAAGTATATCTTCGCGCCGTGTCCCTTGTACAGCATACAAAATAATTATAACAATTTCTTTCAGTTGTAACTATAAGCGATTTCGTATAAAACAACGTCTAAACGGATAGGTACGAATTAAAGCTAATGTTCACATGACAAAACCTATATTTGTTACCAACATACACTCAAACTATTTGGGCCAATATTTGTAACCAACGTTTGACCCAAAACACATTAATATACAATACAGTCACACACACGAGCATACATACAATTTCTAGGCAATTTATGAAACGTTTTAGGAATTCTGTGACGATATTTCCAAATTACCCATGTTATTAAATTTAATATAAGGTGATATGGAAATTTTGTCGCTTTATCAGGTTTTTGAGGCAGTTTTTTCTTTAAATTTACTTCATTTTAATGGTATTTGTGTCTATGGAGTATTGTAATTAACATTACTATTTCATAGACAGGGTATGAAAATAAAAAATCTAATTAGTCCGTCAGTTAGGTAATGAAAAAATATTAGACACGTATTTTTTTATTTTGTCGTATAATAAAACAATAGTTAAATAAAACGAATCAAAGTTTAGGACTAAAACGTCATTTCTACGCATAAAACGTATAGAAGTGACGTCACGCGACATTTCAAATCAATATATTGTCGAAAGTATTCGTTTCCGTAAGAAAATAAAAAATACGTGTCTAATGATTTAAAATAATCTGCCAGACTGACATTGACATAAATATTAGTCATCTGTTCCATGTCATACCATTAAAATAATGAATTTAAAAAAAATATCTCAAAAATCAATTAAAAATGATAAGTTGTTATTTTATATGTCAATCTGGGCATTGCATATAAGTTTACGAAGACAGGCACACTATATAGGTATCGTATTGTTATATATTAATAATATAAAATTATAATATGTTAGTTTATAGTCTAGTTTTTAAGTTATTACGGCACTCGAATCGAACTATTCATGTATTTTAATTCCATGGTATTATCATATGTACATTTGAACGAACTTTAGGTTGATAAACGACGTATGTGATGCCCCAAGTGTTGCAGGCGTACATAGGCCACGGTAACCGCTTACCGCATCAGATGGGCCGTGTGCTTTGCCACCGTCGTGGTACTTATAAAACAAATGTTTTTTTATAGGGTTAAATAATCTCTGTCTTATGGCTTAACAACTTTGGGAGCTTGGTGTATCACATCTACTTCTGTGACAAAATGTTATCAAAATCGGTATAGTAGTTGACGAGTTAGGCGTTAAAGTATAACAAAAGATATGCTGATCTGAGATTTTGAATTTTTAAATATACAATCCTTCTTTAGGCAATAAAAGGCGTGATGAAATGGCCACGTGGATTCTGGCGGTTGCTCATAAAGTTATCTTTTTTTTTTATTGGGGCAGTTGTAGTTTTATAGTAGTATGATGATACCACAATAGTGTAAGTTCGATTCGAGTCCCGTGCAATGCTGAGGTGGGTCGGACGTAGGTGACCGCGGCCGGCGTTGGAGCACCCGAGCTCTGGGGCGCCGCCGTCCTGCCGCCATTGCCACACCTGCGCTACCAGGTACATACGAACCCGTATACGTCGTGTACGCATTTTGCGCAACGAGAATGTGGCTAAAAAAATATGATTTTTGTATGAAAATTTATGATTTTTTCGGAAGAAATCTGCTGATCAGAGTCAAATTTTGACGTTTTTAAAGCTAATTCTGAAGATTTTCGGTCCAAATTGTCAGTATAAATAAACAATCAACAGATTTGTTCCAAATAAATCTTGATTTTTATCAAAATTTTGTACGATACTGCCATGTTTCTTTAAGCTATAGGGTATGGTTGCTCCGATACGATCCCGCTTGTCTATCTGTTAACCTAACTGTTAGTTTGCTAGTTAAATATAACTGTTACTGCTGTATGTCCCCTCTAATTAGCTATACATATTGCGTAAAAACGCTAACAGTTGCGCAAACGATTGCGCAATTTAGCGCAAGTACTATAATCACTTTAAAAATCATCTTGAGATTAATTATTAACTTCATTCCCTTTTAATAACCCATTTGTCATTGTAAAACGCTTCTAAACTTAATATTACTAACCATCTAATAAAATACTAAATTTAAAAAAATATATAAAAGTTTTTAACATAACATTAATTGTATGGCTTACTCACGTAATGACTGATGAGGTTTCTCGATCAATTTCAAGCCATGCTAGGGGCCTATAATCATGACCAACATACGCGACTGCCAACAAACGAGCTACGCGTAGCCAACTGGACTTTTACCGTAATTAAGAGCCCCTGGTGTGGCTTGTAACCGATCGAGTTACGGCATTGAATATTTACGTGATTTCGTATGTACGTACAACTATATATAGTCTCACGATAATTATTATAATACAAATAAATGTTTAGCATAATTGAAGGGGACGTATAACCAATTATTTGTATAGTTTTTAAAATATTATTTGTAAATAATTTTGGTCGTATCGGAGTGTCGGTTTCTTCTCGTTTTAACAAAATGGGCGCGTGCATGTATCTAACACAGTATTAGTACGAAACCAATGTTTTATCACATCACTGACTAAAAAAAAGTAAAAAAAAACATCGAGAGTTATCTCAGTGCTGCCCTACCCTCCCCTAACGTTACATGTCATAGCTTGCTACGTGCATTGGGTACGGCTGAGTACAGTCGGTTCATCTTACTTGCTAGCTTTTGTATGTGAATATCTCGGTCCTAGAGATGTCAGAATATTCTTTAATACTTGTAGCTTTGCCCCTGCCTTTGTTCTCATTATTTTTGTACAATGTTCATTATATGTGTTAATTCTGGTTATGGATGATCACTGTATAAGAAATATGTAGAAATAACCCTCACGACAGCATATCCATCCCCTCCATATAGATGGTTGGCAGGCTGTGGCCTGAGCGCTTCTCTCGTAGCTGCCTTGCACAGCGAAACTGGAATAATATGTCGTCGGTGATACTTCCGATCTTCAAACCTTCAGAAAATGGCGTATTCCTTTTTAAAAGGCCGGCAACGCACCTGTGACTCCTGTGATGTTCCAGGTGTCCATGGGCGGCGTTGATCGCTTACCTCGTAATACGTATGCTCGTTTGCCTCCTATTCCATAAAAAATTGTTTTGATTTTTTAAGGTCAAAGTCAAAATCCAATCATTTATTCCATCATACCGAAATAAGGCACTTTAGGACGGCAAGCAAAATAAAAATGTCAATCCCCTAGTTGCTCTATCTGCTCGTTCCAAAGTGTAGATTCCTATGTAGAAGGACGAGCAAGAAACTTCATAGATACTCTTTCAATGAGTTTTACAAAACAGTTCTTAGTTCTTTTTCTTCTTATGGTGTCACTTCATTCTGAATTGTTCCTTGTCTTTGGCCAGGCGGAAAAGTTGGTTACATTGTTTAATTCCTTCTTCGGAAAGACCTTCTATGTCTGTTAATGTCCAAACATCTTATTTTTAGCTATATATATGGTTTCCTTCGCTATTTCCATGCCCAATCCCCAAAAGAGGGCAACGCCTCTCCCCAATTCTCAAAGTCCCAATTCCCAAAAGGCCGGTAACGCACTTGTAACGCCTTGGTGTTCCAGGTGTCCATGGGCGACGCCGATTGCTTACCATCAAGTGATCCGTCTGCTCGATTACCGGCTTATGCCATAAAAAAACACTTGTATCTCCTCTAGTGTTAGACCATAGGCAGTTCAGATCATTTCCCATCTGAGTGCCAAGCACGAATAACTATCGCATTCGTAACGTACCGAGTGCGTTCGGCGGCGCTCGGCCCAACGGCGAACCAATGATTGGTTGGTTCACTGAAGCCGGCCAATCAAGGTGTCGAACGCACTCGCTCGATCCGCGTAGTCGTTACCCGTCCTATCCCATATAATTTGACTAGCTACTTCTGCGCGGTTTCACACGCTCTGCTCAGCTCCTATTGGTCGTAGCG